TGTGGAAAGCAAATTATCTGGACATAATAGCAGAAGAGAGAAAATTAAGATAAAATTTCCATTTTTAAACTGAATTTTGCTGCACAAAAAGCACATTACCATTGTTTTCGGAGTCAAATATTACGCTACCGTTAGTTTAACGTACTGAATAAACATGCATCTAGAGAACTTCAAGAGTTAAGAGCATCAGGTATGTAGTTCATATTCGTTTTGATTCTTGGAACGGCCTCGTAGTTAAGAGATTATCCTTTTAGTTTGTGCTGCTGCAATATTCATCTTCCCTTTTGGCGAATTACATTGTCCAAGACCCATGATTGGATGATCTACATTTAATCAATGAGTTGACTAAATTAAAAATAAAAATAAAAAAGAAAGCCTAATTCACACACACACATTTTGGATTGATTCTTTAGGTTAAGTTCTATATATATATATATATATAAAAGATGGTTTTTTTTTAAATATGTTTTTTAGAAAATATATTAAAATAATATTTTTTTTCCTGATTTTTTTTTTAATTTCAACACATTAAAATCATAAAAAAATTAAATTAATATTTTTTTTAAAAAAATACACTTTTAAAACACTAGAATCTATTGCATTTCTAAACATGAACTGTAAAATTAGCAAGTGAAAGATTCTTATCGTTTTTTTTTAATCCCAAATCATTTATAAATCAGGGATGGACAAGGAAGATCATTAACAACTTAAATTATGGATGGTCAACATTAATTAAAAAATTATTTAATTATGTTTAATAACAAAGTTATCAATTAATTTGTTTTTGATAAATCATGATAATTAAGTTATATATATATATATTTATTTTTTTCACTAAAAGAAATGGAAAGGTCGAAAGCAAAAGAAAAATATAGAGAAGAAAATAGAAAGCTGTCATGGATTGGGAGTCCCTTGGATAATACAGAACCATACCAAGCTACCAACCATTAGTCAGCTCAGCACTGGAAGGTATCGGTAGCTATCGAAAACTGACTGGCAGATACGGCTATGATTTAACATGTATATATATCACAATTATATATTATATTTATGCAAAACAGCAAAGTTTATTTATATTATTTTTCAGTTTGCAGTTATCGTCACCCAAATTGATTTTTTATTTTTTGGCTTTCATGGATTCCATCAAATTTAATGATTGTTGTTTAAAGTTTTAAATGCTATCTAAAAAAATAGATTTAAATAAAAAAAGATAAACACATAACATTATTTTTTTTCTTCATATTTTTATCCCTTCCCACTTGTTCTGTGCAAGATATAAAAATATATTTTATACTTGAGCTTCTATGTATTATAAAAAAACATTTTTTTTTATAATTATTATTATTGTTTTAAGATAACTCATTTTATCATCTATACTAAGATCATATATACTTACTTTTAGATAAAAATGCTAATTTCATGAGTTATTTTGAAAAACCTTTTAATATATTGTGAGAATTAAGTTAAGAATTTCCAGTTCTTATCACCCCTCAAATTGAGGTGGTTAATAGAAGTTTAAGTAATCTTTTTAGATGTCTAGTATAAAATCATAATAAGAATTGAGATTTAGTTCTTTTTATAGCTTGATGTGTTTATAATAGCTTTATCAATAAATGAACAGACATGAGTCATTAAGAAGTTATATATGATTACAAGTTTTTTAATTCTTCTCATGTTTTCTCATGCTAGGATGTCTAAGTTAGCTGAATCATTTGTACGTAAAGTTCAAGGTTTGTATATTGAGATCACTAAGCAAATACAAGCAAGTAATATAAAATATAAACTTTAATTTGATCACATAAATGCCATAATGAATTTAATGCTGGAGACTATGTTATGATACAAATTAAACCTGAATGATATTATTTTGAAACTAATAAAAAATTATAGGTAGATAGTGTTGAGCTGTTCAAAATACTATAATGATTTGATATAAATGTTTATGTTATTGATTTACCGCTAAATTTTAGTACTAGCTTAACATTTAACTTTGAGAATCTAGTTGCATACAAGAAATCACATCCAATTTCAAATGATTCTTTTAAAATGTTGTGTAAATGTTGTGTAATCTCACTATCAAAGATTTTATTAAAACCTCTATTTCTTTTACTTTGCTATCAGCACAAAAAAATAATATCGATATTATTTTGAATTAATAAGTTGTTTTTTTCAAGAATAATGAAATTTAATGATTTCTTATTTTTTAGGTGGGCCAACCTGATTAAAATTACATATTATTAAATTTATTTAGAGCTACACTTAACAAGTGAAATTTCTTCAATACTAAGAGAATTGATGAAGAACTAAATGTACACCATTAATTATATAAATACACGAACAAAAACAATAAATAATGGTTTGACCTGACAGTATTATTTCATTTTTTTATTTAAGTTATTTATATTAAGTAATTTTAATCAATGACTTTAATAGATAGATATTTTAGGGTTATATGGCTTACCCTCTCTATGTTTTTAGTTTTCTTTATGTTTTTTTTGGTTCGACATCACGTGCTCCTGATTCACCTCTAGAAAAAGAGAATTAAGATGAAACAGTTTCACCATACAGTTCGTGGATGGTGGTGGAGGAATAAGGGCAGGAGGAGAGATTTCCCTTCTCCCTGAACGATAGGAACTCGATTGTCTTTTTCTTAAGCAGTGGCCTCAAATACATCACCACTATAAATATAGAATCTCTCACCTGGTTAATTTCTAGTTCATACAACAAAACAACTTGTGCACCATAAGGAATATCTGCTTGGGGATAGGAAGGCTTGCCCTTAACAAACTTTTTATTAAGAAGAATTTGAAGAGAGGAAGAGAGAACAGCAGATGGTCTGCAAAATTTATGAATTCTCAATGTTACCTTCCAAGCTGTTACAGTACAATATGCTTCTCTAGCTGAAAAGCATTGAGGCGGTGATGGATGTAGACGTTTGAAGAATACGCAAGAAGGTTGCCGCAGAAGCGAGCAGAATCCTTGCGGAAAAGAGTGCTTGTGGCAAAAGGAGAGGCAGAAGAAGGGAGTCTCCTTGCGGGAATAGAGAAGGAAGGTCGAAGCAGAAACAAGCAGAACTAGGATTTCTGACTTGAGACTCTGGATCGGTCCAGCAACCAGACAGAGATGGGAGGAGGAGAGATTCGAGACAAAAGATGAAGCAGGTCGGCATACAGCAACAGGGGAGGGTCCATTGGGCTTTGTTTATAATTATTGGGCCGAAAGGCTTAGAGAGTGGATACTAAATTAGGCTGGACCGATAACAGAATATGGCCCAGCCCTTTAAATGGCAAGAACAATTCTCTAATGAAGTATTTGTGCTTTTAAATTAATTTTCAAATTATTATTATTTTTTTAATCTGATTGACTAAAGTCAATATATCTTGAAAGAGACACAATGACCATTATTTTCATTCCAAAAATTCCTATCCGTTGATTTGATTTTAGAATTCAATTCCACAAAGAATCTTTCAAATCAATAAAATAAAAGGTAAACCACACAAAAGCAAATGGATGAATGACTCTTTTGGTACCACTAAAAAAACATGTTTTAATAGTTGGATTTACTAACTCTATAAAATCTGAATCTATATAAAAAATTGATTCAAAAGACTTCAAGATTGATTTCACAAGATTCTTGAATATTTTTTTAAGTTCAATTTTTTTATTTTTTATTTATTTAAGGAGTAGCTTTACAAGACTATGTAAACTAATTTTTATTTTCAAATCCCTCTCTTGGAGGAGGGTTAATTTTATCGTATGAAAACTTACAACAATTTTTATTTATTATATAATAGCTCAGCTTAATTTGATTTATATTATCTATTTAAGTTTTACAGTATTTATCATTTTATTCATGATAACACAAGTATATTTCTGAGTCTAACGACTCAAAACACATATAATAATTTAACAACCAGTATTTTTAATAAAATTAATAATTAATTTTTTATTTGTTAATACGGGATATGAAAAATCATCATTAAAAAGTTTATAGTTTGATTTTTTTAATAATGTTTAACAATTCAATTTATTAACCCATCAGATATCTTTAAAAATCAATTTTTACACTCTTACAAAATATTTTTGTAATAATTAATCCTTAATTTTTAACCTTATAATATCTAGCCCCCCTACAATATACATGTCAAATCACATTGCATGTGGATGTATGATCTTGCTTCTCTATAAAAATAAATCACAATCATTGCCAGCATCGCAAGTCAACTTAAAATAATTAATTTAAAACACCGATTAATCTTATCTCATCACTCATGTCTCACGGACAAGGCGAATCTCTTTTTAACAAAAGTTGCCTAATTGTTTCCAGATAAGTGACCAGACAACATAATATAGGTAAAGGTATTGGGATTTTCCTTTTCCCTCTGGACTACAGATTTCTGGGGAAAACACAGGGCGCCGTTGTTTCTCTGTTATCCTCCTTCCATCCATCGGTTGTGGAAAGGGCCGGTGGAGAGTTTATAATTGTAAGTGAAATTCTCACCTTGTATCATGTTTCAGTGTAAGAAGAATCACACCTCTGTATTTCTTTTCTTTCAAAATACCATTCTCTTCATGATTTTCTGGCTTACTAATAAAACTCTCCATTATTATATATATACATATATGTAAAACTTTTGAAAGGAATGTAAGTCAAGATCATCTATCAGAGCCCGAGATTTGTTAACAAATCCAGACCCTGGCTATATATAGTCAAAACGAGAAATGAGTTGTTGAGGCTCTAACCCAAGACCCGATGTGTGAGGAGGAGATTGTTAAGAAGGTGATCCTCACACATGGGTTATGGAGGGGGCTAGTGGGAGAGTTTATAAATGCCAAAAGAAAACTTCACCTTATAAGCTAGCTTTTGAAAGGGAGGGAGATAGGCCAGTACCTACTAATTCTTAGCTTGAAACTCTAATCTTAAAAGCTAGCTCGATCAATATGAAGAGGAAACGAGTAACATAATGAGAATCCATTATAGTAAGGGCAAACATGTTTACAAGGGCAAACATGGGAGGGATACAGTAAGCAGTCACCAATATATATATATATATATATGGTGAGGCAAACAGCTTGGTACGTGCATGTTTACAAGCAGGAAATTAAGAGATATTAACTGATAATTAAAGTTTGATGAGAAAGTAATTAAACAGATAAAACAAAGAGAGATCGTAATCCCATTTTCGGTGCTAGCTGATAACACTGCTGCTGCTGCTGCTTCTGCCTATTGTCATTTGTAGCGCAATAGATCTTTATTCTATAGCTAGCTTAGTTCATGTATCCTTCAGTTGAGATTAAGATTCTTCACCCTGCATGTAAACAAAGAGATCGGTCATGGACAGAACAGCAGTAGCAATGCAGAATCATCAGTACGAACATTCTAGTTCAAACATTAATTCTCGTGTTATGAAGTAGCAATTAGATGAAAATAATTAGATTCTTCAGATAATTTAATATTTTATAGGTGTGTGTGAGAGTGTGTGTGTGTGTGTTAATTGATGTACCTTTTTGCTTGATCATCAATGCAATGGTAGCTTTTGTTGCTAGCTCCAGATCTTCTAGTGTAGTTGGGCAAAGGGATTTCACCAGCTTCAATCTGCTGGACGTCTTCAACAAGCATCTGATAATGCTTCTTCACTTCCTCCACTGTTTTTCCAACAGCCCTGGCAAGATGGTGCCAGCGATCAGGAGATTCTTGATCATAGATGGCCAAGGCATTTTCGAACAGTTTGTTTTGCTTTGAAGTCCAATTACTAGAACCTGAAGCCATGAAGAGATTAAATGCTATAACGATTTAACTAGATATATGCGCCTGTTTTAGAGAAGGTGGAGTGTGAGCAAACACTGTGCTAGGTGCAGGTCTTTATATAGGAGCTGGACTGGTAGATAAAGGGTTAATAAAACTTCTGGTAGTGTGATAGAGACTGTTTTTTCTTTAATTATGAATAAAAAATCATTTAATTAGTTAAATAATTTTTTTTTTTTTTTATTAAACCTCACATGTAATTATGTTTCAAACTTTACTTTTGTAGAAGGTAAATAAAATGATTTTTATTTATGAAAACTTATTTTTTATTTATTTTAAATGTAAAAAATCCATCTCACATCAACATGCATTTTTTAAATCTTACCTTTTAGAATTACAACTAAAAATATTTTTTTAAATCTAGTTTTTTTTTTTTCAAATTGTAATCCTAAAAGTTACCATAATGATAAACTCAAATCAAATAATGGTCGGCTAAGGAGTTGTTTTTTCTTGCAAAACCAATGGACTTGTGTGGTTTTACTTAGCTTTAATTTTATGGTAATTGAATACATGGTTTTCACTATTAGAAAAAGGATGAGTGTGGTAGAAAATAAAAAAAAAGCAATGCAAAGTAAAAAGCACAAGAATAAAAAAAAAATTGACACGAATGTATATTTTTATTAACTATTTCTCTCTAAGCTTTCTTTACTATTCTTTTTTTTTGTATGCTTTTGAATAATGCTGAATTACAAGCCTTTTTATATGCATGAAGTCTTAAATAATCAAGAAATTAAACTAATATAAGGAAATCCTAATCTATATAGAAATAATATTCTACCAACTAAACTGGTCGATCAATTCAACTTATTCCAGTTGGTCAATTGATTTTTAAATGATAGATTGATTTCTCTATTTTTCAAAACTAAAATCTCATTTACTTTCAACACCCCTCTTTAAACTTGATTTTTTCATAACTCCGAACATATCTCTCATCTTGATAAAAATATCATATTTGAGTAGTTTTGTGAATATATTAATAATTTGATCTTGTATCTTCACATACTTGGCTTTAACTTTTTTATTGGCAATGAAATCTCATAAGTAATAAAATCTTGTGTCAACATGCTTATTTCTATCATGAAATACCTGATTATTTGCTAATACAATGATTGATTAGTTGTCTACATAAATTTCAGTAGGCTTCTCTAATGACATTTACAATTTCTTTGATAATCTTTTTATTCATATGAAATCATAAACATATGATGTAGTAGCTATATATTCAGCTTCATAAGTTAATGAAGTGACTATAAATTGCTTATTTGAACTTTATATGAATATTGTATCTCCCATGTAGAAAAAAAACCGTAATGTTTTTTTATCATTCATATCTTCAACCTAATCATTATCACTATAACTTATAATTTCAAAAACATCAGAATAATCATAGAACAAGTCAAAATAAATAGTACCTTTAATATACCATAGAATTCGCTTTCATGCTTTGAAATGTATCATAGTTGGTGTCTACATAAATCTACTAAAAAATCATACTCCAAAAAAAAAAAAAAATCCAAATGAGTGCGTTTTATCTTTAACATCTTCACTCCATACTAAATTGTAGTATTCTTTTTTCTACAATTCTCCATTTTGAACTTCTTGAGAACATCCCTCACAAACTTCTCTTGATTTACAAAGATTCCATCTTTTCTTTATTTAATCTCAATCCCTAAGTAGTAGGTCATGAGATCAATATTTATCGTCTCAAACTTTTTAATTATTGCTTGCTTGAAGTCTCCAAGTATCTTTGTATTATTTCTTGTAAAGATCAAGTCATCTACATACAAATATACGCTAAGAGTATTACCTGTTTTCCAATAATTGTCCTAAGCTCAATATATTGCTTTTCACTAGTGGTATATAATAGACATCACCAATAAATTGATGACTTCTATCTTTTAATTTAATCAAAATCATACCTTTTCTTTTGGTGGCAACTTTTTAATGATCCATAAATATGATATTATTTCTAATTGCTTCATCAAGCTACATGAACTTGTCTTGTTTCCATACGTGGCTGCTGGCTCTATTGTCTAGCTGTTACATGTTCTCTTTGTGTTGCGTTCTCTTATCATGCATTAGTAATGGGGTGTTTTCATTCTCCTATTCTATCATTAGATTTGCATTCTCCTTGTCCCTTTTGGTAAGACTAATAATCTTTAGTATAGTGACCTATATTTTAACAATTATAGTATTTAATTTTTGATTTGTCAAATTGAATTTCAGATTGCCACTATCAATGTAACCAGTCGACCGGTTAACTTGTTGAGTTGTCGCGACCTACTTTTTCTTGGCTTTGCCTACATCCTCTACCCTATTAGGAATATCTAAAACCATCTTAATTTGAAAAAAGTTTTTGTACACCTACATCTTCTAGAATTTCATTGACTTTTTCCTCATGGAGTTGTAATTTTCCCATGAGACCTTAAATTGAAAGAACATCAATATTTTACGACTCTTTTATCACGACCATTGTATAATGAAATTTGTTTTGTAACGAGCATAGAATCTTCTCTACCACATGTGTTACTTTCATCTTCTCTCTATATCTCTTCATTTGATTGTATATGATCAATACTCTTGAAAAATATTTTGAAATATTCTCCGATTTAAGCATAAGTAACTTTTCAAAGTCAATATATAGCTTTTGTAGATTTACCTTTCTCACATTGTCAGCTCATTGGTTTGATTTTTACAAAACTTCCTATGCTTGCTTGGCGGTGGTTGCGTTGACCACTATCTCAAAAGTGGTATCATCCAAATATTAGTGGATGATTGTAAGTGCTTGTTCATTCTTCCTTCGTGATTTTTGCATGGCTTTTTTTCTAGAATGAAGTTAACGTTGCTCCATTTATAGGCTCCCAAAACACTTTTCAATCGTCTCCAATAAATCTTGGGAACCTAGCCAAGCTTTTACTTGAATACATCAAGTTTTATAGTTGTCATTTATTAACCTAGGACATTGAAGTGAGAAGGTTGGATTGACTACATCAAATAATCAAATCTAAACTCCGATCCCACTTGTTGAAGGAATGATGAGTGTGGTAGAAGATCAAAAACAACAATGTAAAGCTAAAACTCAAGAACAAGAAGAAAATTGACAAAAAGGTATTCTTTTATTACATATTTCTCTCTAAGCTCTCTCTTAGCTATTCTCTCTCTGTTTGTGCTTATAAACGATGATGGATTACAATTTTTTAAGGTATAAAGTCCTAAATAATCAATGAATTATCCTAGTATAAGAAAATCCTAATATGAATAGAAATAGTATTCTATCGATTGAACTGATCAACTGATTTAACTTATTTAATTAAGTTGATTGATCGGTTGAAAAATTAGTAGGCACCAGTTCCTTTGTTTTTAAGAATTAAAATCTAGTTTACTTTCAACCTCCACGTAACTAGCTTAAAAATTATGTAATTAAGACTGCTTTTCTTTAATGGGAAATATTTTGGGCTCGTAGTTAACTTGCCCTCATGCCGAGTGGCCAGCACACATGATCTAAATATTCATTGTCAAAGCACCTTCATCGCTTAATTATTATTAGTAACTATTACTAGCCTGATCTCAATTAAGGGATGGTGATTAAGATGATAATTGAATTTGAGATGAGTCTGGCAGTGGGTCATTAATCCACCTCTTAATTAATTTTCCTTAAACAAGGCACGTGAAACCAATTCTAATCATGCTTAACATATTTTCACATTTTATATTTGTAGGCTGCATTGCATGGTGTGACACACTTGCATCACAACAATCACAGGAGAGGCATGTTCTGTGGGCAGCTTGCTCAACATTACCATGACAGAATTATTTTCTGGTGGCGTTTTGTATTATTTAAACGTGTAGATGATGATGGAAAGGAGCCAATTCTTTTATTTAAGCTGGACATGCATAAGGTTTTCTAGTAATAGTAGTAAGTACATTATAGCATGGGAATCACGGGTGAGCCATATGTCCATCTTCACGCTGAGAGTGCTATCGATCGAGCTGTATAAGAGAACAAAAAAGAAAGAAAAGGCAAAGCAAATTTGCTTTATAGCAGGGCAAGAAAGGCGTTCTGTGTGTTGATGTCAAACTAAAATCAATCTCGAACAGGACTGTAGCTGGCTGCACGCCACCTGCTTGTAATTTACTTTCATCTTGACAATGTTACAAAACATGTTTAGCTGGCTACAATATTTGTTAGAAAATTTAAGGAAGAAGGGAATTATAGTGGAATACAACTCTTTTTTTTTTTCTTTTTTTGAGGTGGTCTTTCTTGTACCATCTTATCTTTTATATAAAAACGTGTCAACGTATACTCGGTCTCTCTCTCATCTCTCTTTACATAAGGTCTCAAGTACTCTATTGTTAGGGTGGTTTATTATCTTGCATCTTTTTTCTTTTAGTTTTAATTTTCCCTTTGGATATTACTTCTAGTAAAACTTTGTGCTTTTAACTTGGAAAACCTTCTAAGTTAACCACGTACAACTTCTCCATCTGCGATGACAATTCTCAGGTTACGTATGCTTCATTTATGTATGGAAAACGAAGAATATATGCATCATTTGTCCGAGTTTTTTGAGCAATAATCTTAGTACAAATTGTCTATTGTAATGTCATGTCAGGTTTCTGTCGAGGCTTTAATTAGGACTCCTTTTGTTCTTGACATGGAATATTTATGCAAATCATATCCCGTTGGGAGCTAAATATTATTAATCTTTTTAATGACTGTCATTAACACGAAGAACGTAGAGATCAATAGTTATTGATCCATGCACATGGTTGCTAGCTACGCACGTACCTCTAAGGATCGTGATTCATAAACAACGCCACAGTTTTCAAAGATTCTAACAGTCCAAGATTTGATCTCAAGGAACCATGGAAGAATCAAATTAAACACATATCCTTGTATGGTTCCAAATAATTAATGCAAAAAAGCCGTTCATTTTCGTACGTTGGCAGCTAGATGCTCGTGGCTAATTTCAGAAACAAAACAATGCATGGCACAGCTGTATGCAGGCATCTTCCATTCCCATGGTAATTATTTTTGGCCCCATTA